GGAAGGTTGCTCCTCGGTGCCCTTGTTTTGGTCGGGAGACCCACTCGGTTCCTCTGATGAAGTTTTTGAGTTGTCGGAAGGTTGCTCCTCGGTGCCCTTGTTTTGGTCGGGAGACCCACTCTGTTACTCTGGTTTTTGGAGTTGTTGGAAGGTTGTTCCTCGGTGCCCTTGTTGTGGTCGGGAGACCCTCTCTGTTTCTCCGGATTTTGGCGGTCTGTCTAGTTGTCCCAGTTCTGTCCTCGTTGCCTCTTTGGGTCGGGAGACTGTAGCAGCAACTATCACCTTTTTGAACTCACTTTTCGGTTGTTCCTAATTTCACTTTGCCGAACTTTCGGACGTCGCGGGTACGGGATCACTTTGCCGGATGTACGCTTGCAAAACAGGAAACTCACCGAAAATCCGTCACGACTGCGCCAGTTTTGTTTTAAGTCCTCCGAAAGTTGTTTTTAAAAATTTATTTTAAAAAACGTTGTGGGGACTGAGAAGGTTACCAAGCTTTTTTCGTGAGTTCAAAGTTATTTATTTATCTAGTACATCAATACTCAATACAAGTGGAAAATGTTACTAGGTAAAATGGGTTGTAGGTTCTTACGTCTAGATGGTAGACGCGCTGGTAACAATCTAAAGATTTATAATTAAAAAGAACAATAAGAAAACTTAAATGCTAACTATGCAAAAGCAGTTTCCAGTTCAGACTTGTTATCAAGGCTCCAACGTGAGAGCAGACCTATGTCAGCACTTTTTTATATAGATTACAACAATGTAGCCTGGATAACTCAAATGTGTTATAGTCAGTTCATAAAAGCAGTTTCGAAGAAAGGTCCTGTACTTCCTCATAATGTCTAAACGAAAACTCAATGTGTTGTCGAGCCCTATTTTTATATACTCCATAAGTGAGAAATATTTCTCCTGTAACTCTGTAAGCTAGAAACTTGGGTTAGTGAGAAACCTCTATAAGAGAAAAACAGATCGCGATCCCGTGAGCTCTCACTTATCCAGATTCGACTGTATATAATATAAGCTTTGTATTTTAAAAAAGCCTTAGTTAATAAAACCCCGGCTAGAAAGCAGCTTATTTACTTATTTTTCTTTGACCATTAACTTTTAATACGAATATGCCTACTCATTCGTGAATTTAGTGCCATAAAAGGAAAACGATAATCGGAAATCTTCAAGTTCCCTTGTCATCGCACACAAATTCGTCCAAAATCAATAAAGCTTTACCTTTTATATCTTTTGTTTTACTCGTTATTTCGCATGTGATCGCTGTATAAACTATAATGATAACGAAAAGGGGCACGAAATACATGGCTGTGACACAGAATAAATTGTATGCGATTTCTTGGGCGGGAGACTTGAAAAATCCAAACGTCACGCACTGCTGGAAACGTGGAAATTTCGGATGGGACGAAACGTGAAACACAAAACTCTGAAAAAGAAATCATTATTATTATTTGTTTTATTTTTTAGTGTGGTGATATAACAGTATTAGCATCTGGCAAACAGGAGTTAGGGATAGCTTTAAATAAAATGGAAGCGCTACTGATAAAACAATATTGTACGAAAATAAATAAAAGTAAAACAGAAATACTGGTATGCAGGGGAAGAAAAGTAGGGAAAGAGCGAATATAAAAATAGGAGAAGAAATATTGGAAGAAGTTGCTGCTTTTCAGTCAGATAACTCAGGACGGAAGTAGTAGTGGGGATATAAAGCAAAGGATAGATCAGGGTCGAGTCGCCTTCAGTATAAAGAAGTCACATCTAAGCTCGCGAACGGTTAATTTAGAAAGTCGAAAAAGATTGTTAGGTACTGTTCGTTTCAGGAAGTTAGAGATATGCCCCTTCCCTTTATTACGATGCGCCGTAGCATAATTCGAAATTCAATCATATTTGTCTGCGGATCTCATTTCTTCACCTCGTTAGAGAAGTTCCTGAAAACCTAAACATTTCGATTTTTACCAATGATTTGGTCATGAGACGGGTTGCCGCGGAATTCGCACCAAAATTGTTCAATTTCGACCAAAAACGGCATCGCATTAACGTTACTAAGGAGCTGTTGGACTCTGTCCGCGACGACCCAAATTTGTTACAGAGGGTCACAGCTGGTATCGAATCATGGGTTTATGGTTATGACGTGGAAACCAAAGCTCAATCATCCCAATGGAAGCTGTCACCGATCGTCGAGCGAGAGCTAGACAAAAGTGTACAGTACCATTTGTAAAATTATTTAAACCGCCTCGTTAAAATTTAAGAATATGCTTTATTTAAAAGCATATTTAGCCAAAAATAATAACAAGTGAATTAACTTAACGCTCTACCACCTATAAAACTTTTGCTTTGTTTTCTATTGTTAATCTATATACATTTTTGTTTTAAGAAATTGCTAAACATTTTCGTCTAGTACTGTACAGTTCTAGCCGATCTCCTAGGACCGCCCATCGAGAGCTCTGCTCGTTCAAGCTTGTTCCAACTATTTCTGTCTTGCTCACGCCTAGTGTGTATTCTTTCTATCTTCGCTCAGATTTCTTCAAGGTCACAATTCCAACAAATTGAAATGGACTGTAAAGATGTATGTTTCGAACGCGGCGCCGCACGGGTGTGAAACATGTACGGTTGAAAGGTTAGAACCGTTCGAAATGTGGTGTTACAGGCGAATGATGGGGAATAGAGGATAGAGAAGTTTAGAAGTGAGAGGTATTAGAAAGAATAGGTGAACAGAAGACTCTGTAGAAGTCAATAATAATTAGGGAAATGCGAAGATTAGTTCCAGATAGGAACGAGTGGAGGTGCGTGTCCAACCAGTCTTAGGACTGACGACCTTGTGATGATTATTATGATAATGTTGTGAAGAATTTATCTTGTCGCGTATTTAGGAATTGATTCTTTCTCCGTCTTTTCCGGTTGTTGAACAATTCTTCGACGAAATTATTTGATGATTTCTCCTTTTCAATTTTTTATTTTATATAGATACGAGTTTATTATTTGCATGAGTGATAGTATTGGTGATTTATTGTGTTGGGAAATCAACAGATCGTATATAAAGAGCAAAATTACATGTTTTGCTATTTGTATATTCAAGCCACTAGAAAGTTCAAGTGTTTTGTTTTGACAATCGTAAATGTTTTAAATCTGATTGTAATATACCATCGACAGGGTCTAAAAATAGGGTTGAAGTTTTCGTCAAAAATTTGCAATGTTAATAAGACACGGTTCTAGTTGACCTGGATAATCCCGAGTAACATAGACAATATTTTAGTTTGATAAAAATAAGTTTTGAATTTGAAATGTCAATATCTCTAAAGTGTTGTTTGGCTAGGTTATTGAAGTAAATGACAGCTGTCAACGCCAACTGTAACTATCATCGAAAACACGAACGGTGCCTCAGGATTAAGCATAACAGACTCACATAAAAAGAAATTTCGGCCTGGCCTGACTATATATATATGTATACTGTGTGTTTTTAGGGTGGCTGAATTCAAATCGTAGGTCAATTTAGACCCAGAAGTAAATAAAAAATAGGCGGGATAGATTGGTAGGGCACCTTCTCAGGCATGGAGGTCTAGTCAGAGACATATTAGAGGGAGAAACAGGAGTTAGGAGGGGTAGAGGTAGACCTAGAGTAGATTACTGTTCGCAAATAGTTAAGGATGTGGGTTGTTCTAGTTTTAGGGAAATGCGAAAATTGCTTGGGATAAGGAAGAGTGGAGTTGCGTGTTCAACCAGTCTTAGGGTTGACGACCTTATGATGATGATGATGATGATGTCAGGGTTTGGACATAACCACCAAAAACACTCTAAAACCCACTTAAACCGTTAATCATGGTAATGCAAAATAATTTGGACCTAAAGCTCGTTTAATCAGTTAACTCTTCCATATTTTTACATTCAGCAAAAGGTATGACTATTAGAATAGAGCTCTAACGTATCTCGTTTCTAAAAATGCATAAGAAATGTTTCTCCATTTTCTGGACTCCATGTTAGTATCTGTTAAATTTGAATTGTGTCAGTCAGATCAATAAAATTTACCCGATGTCGATGAATGAATTTAATTTCATTAAAAAGTTGCTTAATTAACTTCTAAAATTTGTGACGGTCCTGCTGCAATAATTGTTAGAGATTCTTGAAAATTAATCCGATTTAAAGTATGCACATTTTGTAACAGGGCTCCTACTTCGCTGGGCTGCTAAATCATTGAATTTAGCGAAGATTTTAAGTCGTTAATCACCATCTGACTTTTAGAAATAGTTTTGCGTTCTTACAATAAACGGATTAACTGATGTAATAAATGCAGCAGCATGAGGATTAAAAATTTAATTTCAGGATATATATTAGAATTCGGTTTTTCGTATTAGTTGCTTTAATTAAACCGACATGCATATTTATGTACATTTAAATTAATTCTTTACGTCTACCTGCGGAATTGAATAAATGAGTGACATGGTCCAGGCACAAGTCAGCATGTATTTCCCCCGTCTTCGAGCGTCGGTCACTTTTAGGGGATGTAGAACTGCAAAATATCGATCCAATGAAACACATATCAACACGTTGCTGCTTAGATAAAGTCCGAAAGCTCTTAGATACAGTAGGATTTTGCAGGCCAAATTACCAGCGACCCATTGTACTGTCACTCGCCACCCAATCTGCAACAAGAAACAAGTATGAGTTAATTTTACTTTTGCTACAAAGAATCACGTCAGATTGTTACAGAAAATGGCCGTCTGTCAAACTCTGACCATTATCTTCTGGTAGTTCTCAATATAGGATATGGACACGAGATATGGTCCCTTAAAGTTGCATTATTCCGTAAGGACTTCCAAGATAGTTATATTCGAATTTATGGGTAGAGTAATTCAAGACTTTTAAGAAGTTTTTTTCATATTTATGTATAAATCAGAAAAACGACGTTTACAGTCAGACGGTCTAAACGGAACCAACCAACTAATAAAGTTGGGTGTGGTAAGCTCCACAACCAACAAGAAAGATGGAGGCTTGAGGTGCCTTATTATGAAATTTTAATTGTACTTCAAAGAAAGATACAATTATAACTGGTACACGTTTTGAATGTGTTAGAGTATTGGTACATATATATATACATTGTATATGTTGATATATTATATCTATGTATAGGATGTGTCAAGGTGTTAGACCAAAGATGGTAATGTATTCCGCAAAAGTCTTATACAACTAAGTGTCATAGTATAGACACTTATGGGGAAAATTGGTGTACCGTTTTAGAGATGCAATCCAACACCAACTCAGAGTATACAACTTGTACAAGGTTTGTTCAAAGAGTATCGTTAATTTTGAATTTCCGCGTTGCGTATATTCGATTTTCGATTTTTTTGTGGCATTATGTTGGTACTCATGTCTCTCACTTACAAGAGGGTGCCGGCTGCCCGAGCACGTCAACAACAGACGAAAACATTGATGAAGTGAAGACAATAGTATTGGCCAATCATCGTTAGAGAAGTTCCTGAAAACCTAAACATTTCGATTTTTACCAATGATTTGGTCATGAGACGGGTTGCCGCGGAATTCGCACCAAAATTGTTCAATTTCGACCAAAAACGGCATCGCATTAACGTTACTAAGGAGCTGTTGGACTCTGTCCGGGACGANTTTACATAAGTATATTTAATTACCGTATACTCCGGCGTATAAACACCCTCGGCGTAAAAACACCTTCCCCCCTAGTTTTCGGCTAAAAATTTTGTGTTTAGATACATCCGTTGTATGAATGGCCTTTCAATATTCAGTTTGAAATTTTAAATTTTCCATAAGCACACGTGCTTATCAAGGGTCGATACTGTGGAAAACTACCGTGTAAAATGTTGAAAGTTCAACTGAATGCCCATCGGAGCTCTAAATCTGCCACCTGTGGCTAACATAATAGAATCCTTTGAAACAAATTTAAGTGTTTTAAACTCAGTTCAACATGATTAATAATTCGTTACAACACGTACTAGTGTGTATCTACTAATATTTTTTTTACGTTACTTCTAATCAATGAGGAAAAATTGTTGCCGCTGTCAGTCTCTCGCCGGGGATCGAACCTTTACACACCAATGTTCTGACAACTAAACTAACAAAGGCGACAGTAGCAATATTAAATATCAGTCGCTATTAAAAGTTTCTTAAAATATTGGTATCGACCATCAACAATTTATAAACTTACCAAACTGTCATGAAAACGTATGGCGTCCAGCAGCATACAAATACTATGACTATGATAACCGTTAGCCTCAACGTTTTACTCCTTGCTCTTTCAATGTTGGTCATATCCGACCTTCGAAGACCTCCTTAAAAACAAAATCGTAATTTGAAGTAGTTGTTATATGTAACAGTAATATCTATAGATGTTCAACTATTTCTTGAAGTAGTTTTTCCAACAATTAACAACACATTTACAGGGCTCAACAACAACAATAATAGATTGAGGGATTTCTACGAAATAAAAATTAATAAGTGTCATGTTAAAGCAAAAATGACTGGTTGCATCTACACAGTTTGAACTAGGGAAGCTATTATACGAGGGTGGGTTGATAAGTTTCCGGCCTAACCAAGAGATGACGCCACTAGGCCTACCTTGAGGTGACATTCTATAGTACCATCCTTGGATAGCTTGTAGCTATAGTTTCAGCCCGATCTCCTTGCTAGTGTAGGTTTGACAGCACGCTGAACAAGACGCCTCTGTGGTTTTCG